AAGCACAGAAAATTGCTACGTTAAATAATTCTATTCCCTAAGTACAGACTGGACACCCACTATGGGTAAGTTCAACAACACTAGGCACTACAAAACATGTACTAAAGTGCTGTTAAGAAAAGTGCAGACAGATACTACTTAAAAATACAGAAAACTTATTTCAGTCAACAAACATGAATTGATGTCCAATTCATTGAAGACATAATTTGGCCCTGGAGAGGGATATAAAGATGAATAAGATGTAGCTGCCCTCCAAGAGCTTATAGTTCAACAATTGAAATCAATACCATGTAGAAATCAATAGAACTGCGCCCGCCCCCCAAAAAGCAAAGTGCCTTGAGGTTTCAATGTAAGTTGATGCTGTGCTTATCTTTTTAAAATCAATTTATGTTAAGCATTCTGAAACACTATTGCAATTAAGGACGAATATTAAGGAATAGAAATTCATCCTTATCTGGCAGCAGCAACAGCTTCCTCCTAGCTGCATACCCTTCAAAATATTCACATTGCTCAAGACAAACTAAACAAATACTTGAAAAACAATAATATATGCAGATCTCTGTCCATCTACAAAACACATTATTCAAAATACCCAGAAACTGCAGCGGGAAGGAGGTTATAAAGAAAAATATACAAACTTTATAGGAAAATGAGCTTAAGAATGAGTAGTTTCTCCAGTAAAGAAACACTCAGAAAAGATATAAAAGAGAATTCATATGGGCTGGACTCCATAATCTTTAATAAAGATCCTTTTCATCTTGCTGCTTCCTCTGAGTCTCAAACAGTAACTGGTACGTTAGGCACGCAGTATCTGTTGAGTAAACGTGGATCCGTGGTTCCTTCTCTTCACCCTAGGCCTAGGAGGCCTTCCCTAGGAAACAACTGATAAACCCAAGGTCCAGTTCATAAATTATCAAGCCTTATAACCCCTTGTCTAGCAGAGACCCCAACCCTGGTCAGCAGCTCCTTACTCTTCACTCCTTACTCTTCACAAAAAAGCGGCATTTTTTGCTCACACCGCTACTATAGTGCATGTTTATTGGATTGTCTCTCTCCTAAATTGGAAGCTCCAAGAAACTTTATTCATCTCTCTATCCCCAGCACCAAACACAATATCTGGGACACCGAGACGATAGACACACTTATCAAATGCTTGTTTATTGAAACACACAAGGACTGCCACGATTCCGCCCCATCTGGTGGTAAAGGGTTAGAGCCCGCGCTCCCCGGCAGCATGCCAGATATTGAAGACTGTAACGTCCTGGAAAATTCTCCCTCCGCCACCGCGGTTTAGGGTCGGCCCAGACCAGCCCTCGCCAGCCTACAAGAAGGGACCACCGAAGAGTCCAGACATAAGGACCCTAGAGTCCAGCACTGTGCCCTCCCCTCCAAGTACAGAGTGAAACTGACAACCAGAGCAGAAAGGAACGTGGCTCAGAGCACAAGGTTCCCCGATAACCTAATTCTGAGCCCTGGAGGAATCTCAAGGACCTCCCACCGCCCTCGCCTCGGTAGACTAGACCCCCGCTAGCTCAAGGTGCCGTTGCCAGGGCGACCGCACAAGCTGCCGAGCCCTGCTCCCCCGCCCACTCAGCTCCCCTCCGCTACGTGGCTCTAGCTACGTGGCTCTGCCCACAAAGCGCCCGCGCCAAGCTGGCTGAAGCCGTAGAGGGGCCTGGTTCACCTGCACTTCTGTCTCCGGTGGCCACTCGGTGTTGACCAACAAGTCATAGAGAATCGTCTCCTCCTCGCCCTCTGCAGTGCCTGAACTCAAAGCCGGCCCTGCCTCGGGGGCCGCCATGTTTGTCCGGGACTTGAATAGCTGAAAGAGAGCCACTACGGCGTCCAGCACTGGACAAGTTTCCCAAGCCGCAGCCGCTTTTGCTTCGCGCGGAAGGGCGTGGCGTGAATGACTGCGGAAAGGAAGTGCTGGGTTAACCCTTTTATGAATAAGAAGGACGATAACTATTGCTTGTCTTGGGTACGACTTGTTCTCAGTCCCAGTGCACTCCTTGTTAACTAATCTGCGTGAGATCAGCCAAGTTACTCAACCTCTCTTATCCAGTCACCTTCTATAAAGCAAATGGTAAAAGCACCCCGCCCCCGCCCCCAGAAACACTGCTATTCATTCATCTCTTCTTTGCCTAACAGAGAGTATTCAAAGCAATGGTTTTTACATAAACAACCAAAAAATTATCCAATGCAAGAGATCAAGCCAATGAAAAGTACCTTAGGAGGGATGCTATAGGCGCTCAAAAAAGGCAATGAAGGCCACAGGGTCTTCAGGGAATTCCTGGGGGAAGTGGTGCTTTCCTGAGTCCTTAACAATAGGTAGAATTTGAATCCAGTGGAGAAGGTTTGGGTAGAACATTTCAAGAAGGAGGAAATGGAGTGAGCAAAGACAGAAGAAGTACATAGCTGAAGAGGGCAGGAAGCTGAATAGAATACAACTTAAGTTGAGAAAAGGTGTGGGGGCAATAAAGCTGAAATAATAGGTTGAGAACCTGCATGGAGGGAGCTAAAAGGCCAACTTCATTTGTTCATTATTTGTTCATTCATTCATTCAACAAGTGTCTTTTTGTGGAGAGCCCTGTACTGTAAGGCAGTCTATTGTAACCTGAATGAATATACAATGGACAAAGTATTAGCACTGTATCACATTCAAGAGAAACACAAATACTGAAGATTTCCTGAAGGAATTATATCGCATAATATCCATCAAGATGTATTAGGCAGTCATGCAATTAAAAGCCTCTGCCAGGAAGCCTCTAATGGCTCTCCTTTCTTTCAAAGCTTAGTGACCTCAAAGCCCTACATCATGGACCAGCTGCTACCAGTTAGTCTCATGCCTCATTTCCTGCTCTTCTCTCTACCTTCAGCCACACTGGCCTTGCTGTTTCTGAACTCTCCAAACACACATCCACTTCAGGGACTCTGCAAGGGCTGTATCTTCTGCTTAGAAGGCTTCCCAACCTCCCTCACTTATCTCCTTCAAGTTTTTGCTCAAATGTCACCTGCTCTCTGAAGCCTACCCTGATCACTCATTTTTAAATTTGCAACCACCCTTCCCCATCTCCAGCTCTCCAGAGCTGCTCTATTTTTTTCCATAACACTTGTTATCATCTAAAACACTATACAATACATGTTTATTCTCTGTCTCCATTCATTAAAATGCAAGCTATGCCAGGGAAGAGTGCTCTATCTACATACATGCAGATGCTATATACATCCCTACTATGTCCCCAGAATTTATAACAGTGCCTGGCATAGAACAGAGGATGAAATATATATTATTAATATTTGTTGAATAAATGAAAGACTTCCCAGAAAACCTTTTTTATGCATTATCTCCCCAAAGTATTTCTCTGCGCAGCAGCTGTGCCATTTTATCAAATCTTTCATTGTGAACACCAGACATCTCCTCTCCCCCTGCCCCTAGACTGACAATGTGGGAGCCCTGCCCATGTTGGCTGCTGTAGAATATGAAGAGGTAGGAATACCATCCACACGGCATGTGTGGGGGCCATGCTGACACACTGCACAGCTCCAGTGGCCACCCTATAGGAAAAGGAAAGCCTGTCTGCATAGTGAGAGAATGAAATTAACACACTGAGAAAAACAGAGGAAAGAGTAGAGACTTTATTTGATATAAGCATGGCCTGAAACAAGTAATACCTGTGTGCTTCCATCTTCCCAGGTAATTGATCTAGTGCATTCTCTTTTGTGCTTAAGCTAGTTTGAGTTAAGTTTCTATGCACCAAAACCCAGAGTTTGGTTGCTGTGTACTATTATGGTCATCTAATAGATTTCTTAATTTAGCTGAAACTCCATCATTGGTTCAAAGATACTTTAAGTCATGAATAAATCATTCTAAAAAGAAAAATTGTTTTCCAAATAACCAACACAAATGATAACTCTGTGAATTGCTTAAGGAAATGAGACTGAAATAAAATTTGAGATAATTTCGAAATAGGCATTGTCATCATCATCATCATCATAGCAGCTACATTTTGTGTATCTACTCTAATTTAAGCACTGCTCCAGGTACTTTATTATACCTTATCTCTGCTCCTCTCTATGACACAGTAAGAAGTATGTTAATATCTATCTCTATAGATAGATATAGATATAGATTAGTAAGTTGAGGCTCTAAATTATTATGACCCAACCAAGGTCACATGCTAGTAATGGTGAAGCTGGAATTGAAACACAGTTTTTATCTAAAGTCCTGATTATTAATAGAAAAGGTACTGTGATATACCCATTTGAAAGAGCAATAATCTAATGTTTTTATAAACCTTTGATGAGAAGGAAAAAAAATGGAAAAATTTTCCTATTTCTTCCTATCCTCACAGCATATCAAGTATGCCTCAATCGAACTGAAATATAATTTTCATTCACTTTGCCGATGGCCTCAAACGTTCTACCTTAACATTAGACAAAAGTTACCTAACAATATCTCACATAAAGAGATCATTTCTCTCCTCTTGCCTCTTCAATGTAGAGCCGTCACTAACTGATAGATTCTTTGGGAGTAGCTCAGCTTTTTGGCTCCTATCAGTTTAAAAACCCATTAAGCTAAAAGCCATTAATTAATGATTAAGCATTTAACCCTTTTATGCTTCTCCATATTAGAGACCAAGAGATTAGTTCATCATATGAAATTGCTTCTATTTTAAATTTGAAATTGCATAATAAAATTGAATTTAGGCATTTAAACATTACCTGTTATAGGTGTCATACATTTGTATTTGATTGGATGGTGCACTAGCTCTTTATGAAGAGTATAAATTTTAATCATTATAATAAAATAATATTGAGAGCAATTCAAGAAATTTTATTTCCTCCAGAAAGCCTGCAGAATCCCAATCAATCCTTCCATAAATATTCTAAGACTCTTGTAATATCTTTTGGCAGCAAAAACAGATATAAAGTTCATGCATGGTTTTAGCCAAGAAGGAATCTCCAGCCCCTTACTTAAAAGTTCATTTATTCTAATTTGCTACACAATCCAAATAGGCCATTCCCTCCCCTCCATTTCCTCACTTACAAATTATATGGAAAACAAACTGGGAAATAGGCCCTACCAGAGGCACATAGAGTGATAAATACAAAAATCACCAGCAAGTGCAAGAGATGAGCAAATAAATTGATAAAAATATATTGGTAAAATAATGAATTATTGACTTAAAA